AAAGTTAAATATGAGTACTGGCTTAGTGTATTTTCTGCGTTTCTCGCTTTGGCAACGTCTGTCGCAGGAGGGACGACAGAGTCTCAGGATAATGGGCCGATAGTTTCTTCGCACAATCCAACGTTCTCCACTCCGAGGCAATTTTCCTTTGGTTTCCGATAAGTTCGATTTACGAATCCCTTCCAATCAACTTTACTTACGAAATGAAAAGTCGATTCACACAATGTAATCTTACCTCCCATTCATTTCATCTCCATCCTTAACTAAAGCATTCCCAACCCTAGATTATAGTTCTGGATTCCAAGAGGGAGTCATCTCTGAGAGTCCATTCGCTTTTTAGGCATTCTAACAGACAATTAGTCTGCCGCATACACTTGTAAAGCTGACTTTAGCATTCTGTCTAAAATGATTGAGTTTGTTTTCAGATTGGTAGAGGACTATAGGAGGCCATCTAGCATGTGGTGAAAGTGTCGGACTTGCTGAGTAAGTGCTCTAACTGAGGCGTTCACTTAGTAACTAAAATATGTCAAACTGGAAAAATGCTTTGCTAGAACTATCATCATTCTATGATAGTGATAATTATATATATATATATATATATATATATGCATGTGATAATAATATGTAATATTATTAGTATCCCATGACTATAGACACTCCAGAAAAAATAATATGGAAGCCAAAACGATTTAGTGTATGACAAATTATGTGACGAATTCGGTACCTCGTTTATTTTTACTTGGCCTAAACTCAGTTTGATGCAATTACAGTTCAGTTGAGAACGTTGGCTGTGTCGCTTGTGGTTTGGCGTGCTTTTATTATAAATGAGAAACCACTTATTTTTCTATCCCTAAAGGCTTTTTCAGCCAGAGATAATGGAAATATATAGGTATTTTCGGTCTCGTCAACACTTTAAACAGCGGGAGCACATTTTTACTCGCAACACAACTTGCGTTCTAGGTAGTCGCAGAAGGAGTAAGACTTTTAAGGACAGGTAGCCCACTCATAAGTCTCAGTTTCAGCTGATTTTCTAACATTATTATTTCTATCACAGCACTGCCTATTTTAGTAGTTTTATGATAGTTGTAAAATTTTAGTTATGATTTTTCAATTTTTTCATCTTCAGACCAGCACACTTGCTTCGCGTATTCTGGTTTCGAAGATTGTCTCCGTCCTGCAATAGCGGTCACAGGGATCACACTTTCTCCTCATTTCAAGCATCACCTATCCCCTCCTTATCAGCCCAGTTCGAGCCGATTTATTCGACTAACTCTGACTGGAACGATCGGCGTCGGCGTAGCTACCATTTCCCCGATAACACGGAAGAAGTTGGCCTGAATCGGACGCTTTTGATAACCGGTCTTTCCTCTATGCATGATTCGAAACGGCGACTCTATAAATCTCAAGGAGACACGATAGACGAGGGAGAGATCTGGTCGGACGGTGGTCCTATTTGTGATGAGGAGGTGATGTGCCTAGGCTACCTTGAAGATGCAACTAACAGTGCTCCCGACCTGTGGTACCTGGCGAATAAGGCGTCTGTTTCTCGAAGCAATGAAACCAAGAGAGGCATCGCACGTCTTTTTGTGAAAACGCCGCCCAGACTTACTATGCCCAAACTTGGGATCAAAATCAGTCAAACGAGTAGTACTGATGCAGGCGGTAGAAGCACCAGTTTCGAGGGTCAGCAAGAAACAGACGCTGAGATTAGTGGAGGAAAGCAAGAACTTCCGGCCGGTCGACACAAGGCGTCGCCAGGTGTGGTTCGACTTGAGGCGGTGACTGGACAGACTGTCCGATTGGCCTGCCACGTACTTAAATGGGGTCTGCCGCGGGCTCAGCGCGTCTGGATGCGCAATGCACAACAAATCCACGAGGTCTCTATGAGCAGGTCAGTTTAAAGGTTGAAAAGTGAAAGCCTGACATATCTTATTGACACCAGCATTTGGGAAAGTTTTCCCGCTGCCATGACCCGGACCTCCTTGAATTATAAAACTCGATAGTATTAACAAATTATTTAAGGTGCACTATAACAGGACAAGCATTAAATTGCTCTGGACTTGCGTCTACAACTTGATCGTGTCATGAGGTAGGCTTCAGAATGTTGACTGTATACATTCCAAGACATATCGTCGGTATCAACACATTTCAGACCTCTGTCAATGGTGGCACTGCTCATTATTGGTGTCATTGAAACGTCTTGAAATGTATCCTGCTATCTGTTCGAGGCTGGAAGACATATTGATGCCTCTTACAGCGAGTGCAATGTAGGATATGTTCTTTGTAGTCTTAATGATACCACGTTGCAAAAGCAAGACAAGGCCTATCCTAAACACCAAAAGAATATTGCAATAAAAATAAAGTCTTCATACTTGTAATACTCACGTTATGCACCACCTGAAATAATATTCAAAGCCTGCATTTTTAATATTCTCATGGTTTACGATTGCCTGTTGATTTGTATTGAACTAATACCATGACTCAGAATTTCTTAAAATTTCAAGCCTCAATGAAGCTGCATAAACAATAAGTCTCAATAGGTTATTCATGTTAGGGATGCCTAAATTTGTTGTAAGGAAAAGAAAATGTTATTTATTTATTTCGTTACTGTCTGTTTAAC